ATGTTAAAGAGCGATCTCATCTGGTTGGGATAATCCGAAAACATACTATGGAATCAGTGGTGTTTCAGTTGTCTTGACTGGATGGAGGAAGTGGAAAAAAGGCCCAAAGGAGACAAAAAGACAGCATGAGCTGGGGTTCTGTAGGAACAGCAGGTCCATACTTTTGATCGGAGATGATGATAGAAACAGGGCAGAGCGGAAGATGTACATTCCCATTACATTTAAGCCAACAAACCTTTGGTCCCACCCAGACTTCGTGGAGTTTTGAGCCAGAGCACTGGTAAAGCAGGAGAAGGAAGCACTCCCTTCCCCCCACTGCTCTTGCCATGATATTCCTTTTTTCCCCCCGAGAGAAGAAGGACGTTGGGCTCTTCCAGTTTGCTTGCTCTAGGAGCTCTGCCTGTGGGTTGGATGCTTAGACCTGGGAAATTCAGACTCACTTTCAAATAGCAGCTTCCAGCTTTCCTGGACAAACCAAGGCGGCCAGTAACAATAATAATAATGTTAGTCACGTGCTCCCTGCCTGGATGGGGGCTCAGAGAAGCAGCAGCCTAACACAACCTGTCAGGTTGGGGATTAGGCTCAGAATGTCTAATAGATATTCGCTAACTTACTGGAAACTGTCAACAAGGATGTCTCTGGTATCTACCTAATCCTTCCTGATATTTCCAGGACTAAACTTGAGTATCTAGGCTTCTGGGATGCTCTGACCAGGGCCCAGGCAGGGTAGGTTTGGGAGAGGAGGCTCCAAGGGGGTACAAAGAACATAAGGGGCCCCGGAACTGTCCCTTGTTCCCTTTCTCCCTAAGAGCCATGCCTGTGCCTCGCCCCTCAGTCAGGATGTGTGGGCTGTGAGTGGACAGGTAAATTCTCTCATCAGCCAAAGAACTCCAGGCACAGCTCTCTGGCTTTCAGACTTGATTTTGTTCTTTTCTAAGTGTGAAACCCAGGATTACAGAATTTTCCCATCTTCTGCTTTTTGGGGGGAGACTTGAAAGGTCACCCTCTAATCACTCCCTACTGCCAGACCCCTGTCCCACGTGACCATTCTGTGTGCCTGGGTGTCTGGTGAGAAGCCGATTTTATTTAACATTTTACAGAAATTCTGTCTTCTGTTATTAGAAGATTATTTTTGGTGCACATGTTCTGTTGTCCTGGCGAGACCAATTCCTGGAAAGCACAATCTAATTCTTTATTTGTAGCCCACCACGTGTAGCAAATACCAGCTGTTAGATACTTGCAGAAATAAATCAAGTTGAGGTCAGTGGTGAATTTCTCAGGAAGTGGGTAAGAAGAAATCAAAGTTCAAAAATGAGTTTATTTCTTTGGGATATTCCTGTTTATTCCAAGGCAAAGTGAGCAGAGGATAAGGGTTTGATTCAACTTCTGGTAAGGTCCCTGGCTTCTGTCTGCCTAAAGGTACTCATTTGTAACAATTCAACATGAACTTTACAAACCAACAGAGTTACACAGTCAGTTGGAGACTGCCAGTCCCAGCCTCTCCCATCTCCTCACCTCTTTTAGCCACAACCACCCTCTTCAGTGAACCTCTCTCTGCCCAACACACACACACACACACACACACACACACACACACACACACACACACCCACCCCCCCTCATTTACTTCTCTCTGCTGCTAGAGCCACAGCCATGTCACCCCCGATCCTAGGCTTAGACCTGCCCCAAACACATGGAAAGACACGGGCTTTGGAGGCAGGTAGACCTAAGTTCAAATTCAGGTCTCGTACTTTTCTAAGTATGTGCCCTTGCATAGGGAACTTAACCTCTCTGTGCCTCAGTTTCTTCATCTGTAAATTGGATGTAATACCTACCTCATAGTTAAAGTACCTGGCTTGTTACTTCCCTAACTTACTTTCCCTTGTTTTCCAAACCTTTCTGGAAGTTCTAAGCACATAACTCACAGCTGGATGGTCCAGCTCCATCCTTTCTCCACTGAGTGGCTACTTCTCTGAGGATTCTCAGTGTCCTCCTATGGGGCTCAGCCACCCCATCCACTCCTCAGGACTGCCATGAGCTCCCAACAAAAGGAGATGGTATTGAAAATCAAGTCAAGTGATAACTACTGTCACTGTTTCCCTCTGGGGGACTTTCTTGGGGACTGCCCAACTGCAGGCTCTGCGAAACTGCTCTTGTTCAACTCTGTGTCCCTCAGATCTTAGCCCTTTGTCTGAAATGAAGCAGGACCTCCACAAATATTTGCTAGTTGACCAATTCAGTTCCCTGCCTTTGCAACGAAGGGTTGCACAGAATCATTTTAAGCTTCTCCTACCAGCTGTAAAAAGCTATCTGCCCATAGAGACAGGGGAGAAGTATTAACTTTCTTTGTTTTAATCAAATATGAAACCCAACTGTAGTTGAGAAATGAGATTGGATTCCTTGAATGTCTCATAAACTGGGTATAAAAGGCAATTCCAAAATAAGAATTCCAAGAATGTTCTAAGTAATGACAGCATCACCAGAAAAATATGTATAACCTCCCAAAGCAACCACTTTGAAAAGGATAACCCTCAAAAGATGAATAAGTTCTCGAATATTTGTATATAAAACAAGCAAAGAAGCCACATGACTCTGCAGTCACACAGAGACAAAGAATGTTCATGGGGAACCCCACCCATGCTGAGCACTGCTGAGCCCATCGCAAGGGACAGAGCTTTCTGTCATGAGGACACAGACCCAGGGAGAGGACAGAGAGAGGGTCCACGTGTGGTAGGACGGGTCAGGCAGTTAGAACAACACAGCTACATGTCAGCAGGTGAAACAGCAGGGAGGTGGGGCTCCGCTGAGCCTGCGGTGAATCAAGCCTTTCCGCGGGGTGGGACATTTTGTCCAAACACTAGCGCTAACCTCGGTTAAATCCCCTATAAAAGGTTCCTGCCCCACTGAGCTGGCACTGCACACCCCGCTTAGCAGCCACTTGCCTCATCCTGCCTGTGCATTAGGTAAGTCGCCTCCTGAGGAACCTCTTTCTCACTCTCAGTGTCTTGGTGATCTGAGCTCATAAAACCAGGGCTGTGGGCAGAAAGTATGCCACTCCGGCTCGGCCTCAGGCAAACCAGCGCACGTGGGAAAGGGCGGCCTCCTCCCCACACTGGCAGAGCAACGGACCACCCACATGCCTCCATGGATCAGCCAAGGCCTCTTGTTCTTAAGGTTCTGGAAGTTTCTTGGCAATGCTCAGGCTCTGTGAGACTAGAGTCAGGTTACTTCTACCAACACAGACAATGGGGTTGAACCTTCTCAGGGAGCAAGAGGTGATATTGAGGCAAGATGAGTTTGTGGATTTATTCTAAGGAATCTGAAGTGTAGAAAAAAGTGTTGCCTTGTTATTTTTACTGCTTAAATGTCAGTGGTTAAGGTCTGCCACATGGTTAAAAACAAAATCAAAAACAAAAAAAAAACACAACAGTATATTTTCATGTCTTTGTTGAGGTACAATACTCCTTTATATATATCTTTTTATTTTAATTATTTATTTTTAGAGACAGGGGAAGGGAGGGAGAAAGAGAGTGAGAGAAACATCAATTGGTTGCCTCTCAAACTTGCCCCAACCAGGGACTGAACCTGAAACCCAGGTATGTGCCCTTCCTTACCAGGAATTGAACCAGTGGCCTTTCTCTTTGCAGACTGACACCCAACCAACTGAGGCTGCGGTGCGATATTCTAACTTTGATGTACAAGGAAAGTCAAGTCTGCCTAAAATTTTCAGCTACTGGATCATAGATAGGACACTTGCTGAAGAGCCACCAGGTCTCCTTCCTTCCTCCACTCTCATGCTTCTCCAGCCAGGCCCCCCTCTTCCTGCGCCCTCTCCTTTCCAATGCCATGCTGACCCCTCTGCCCCGCAGCCTTCCACCTCCCCCTGCATTTGAACCCTGCCATCTCGGACACTGTCTCCTTCCTGCGGTCTCCCTGAGGCTTCTGCACATCCAGGTCTCTTTGCCTCTTGCCCATCCAGCCATACCCAGGACTCACTTCAACCTACACGCAGCCCCCTGGCTGATGAGGAAAAAAATCTCTCCCTTCAACTGAGAACCCTTCCTCATAGGTCACCAGGGTTCCGCACTTGAAGGGGCTACATACCTCAAGTCCTAACGCTGAGGACATTTCTCACAGAGAAACCTGGCCTCTCAGAACCGGCAGACCTCCCACCCGGGCAGAGAGCCCCTTTCCTCAGTGGTCCCAACAGGTGGTCACCAACCGCTTCCTAAACACCTTCCTAAAAGGCAGCAGGGAAGGATAGAGTTGGGCCCCTGGGCCCCTGCTTGGCCCCCAGCTGAGGCAGGAGTTGACTCACGCATGAACTTGCTGCCTGTTGGTGTTCCCTGCAGGACTCTAACACCATGTGGCAGGCAAAGATAGACTGGATAGACTGTCCTTAGGGCAGAGTCTAAAATATCATTGCATTTGGGTTCAGGAGATAGAGGTTCTAGGGTTCTTTGGTTCCTAACAAGCATATGGCCTTGAGCAAATTACCCAACTCTGAGTCTGCTCCCTCACATGTAAAAGGTGGAGATAATAATGGTTACAAGAGATAATGCATTTGAAAGTGATTTGTGAGCAGCAGAGTATATATAGATGTATGAATATATATGTGTATATATGTGAATATATGGGTATAATAATATTTAATAGCACTTTGTATAAGCCAGCATTGGGCAAGTGCATTAAATGAATTATCTCTTTTAATCTTCAGAATAATCCTCTAAAGTAGATACTAGTATTGCCTTCACTTCATGATGAGTAAACTGAGGCAAAGCAACCCGCCCTAGCTCACCTGATGGGTAGGTGGCAGGCTGACTGAGGAGCCTGCCTCTGATCACAATGGGCCCCACCGTCCCCTCCATAAATACACTATGAAAGAAAGGAAGAAGGAAGACAATAGAGAGCCCAGCAGAGCCCCCCCCAGGAGGAACCCCCTGAGGTTGATAATGAAGCCCCCTGGGGGCTTTTCTTCTTTCTCCAGCTTGCCTCCCAAGATGCCTCAGTTACTGCGAAACATTACGGGGATCATCAACACCTTCCAAAGCTATGCCAGGACTGAGGGCAACTGCTTGGTGCTCACCCAGGGGGAGCTGAAACGGCTCCTGGAGCAAGAATTTGCTGACGTCATTGTGGTATGATGTGCCCAGCCAGGTGGGGGGGGGGGGGCGGGTGGTGAAGGGGAAAGAGAAACAGTTTGCCAGAAGACCAGCTTTGCCTCAGGAATCGGAGAAGGCAGCCACTAGATCCAGGCCTGCAGGTCCTACTGGGGGCTGTGCAGGCAGGGAAACAGGGAGGGGCAAGGGATGGTCACTGGTCCTTAGAGAAAATGCCTTGACTTCCGTTAATTCTAATTGGAAGACAAGGTTAAAGGACTCTAAAGGGACACCTCTGGGAGAAACACAGCCTTTGTATATTCTAGAAATAAAAGTAATTTCTATTTTTGCTGCTGCTTAAATCTGATATGGTAGCCATTGACTCTATCAGAGGTTTGGTCACCCATTAATAAACATTCATGAGAAACACAGCCCTGAGCTGTGTCCAAAACAGCTGCTCAAAAACATGAGCTGAGTGCTCACATCAGAAACGAGGTTTTGGAGAGCATGTTGTTCACAGGCCCCATCAGGGAGGCTCCCCTGGCAAACCAGACTCAGGGCCTTGAAGCACTTCCTTGCCTCTTCCTGCTAAAGGAACCAGAATGGTTCAGGTCTTGGGGATAGGAGTGTGTGGGCCCATCCGGGTGCTGCTTCTACATGCCCTGGGCAACCTGAGGTCCCTTGGGACCCCTGCCCACCCTATGCTGGGAAATATCTGAGCATCACTGAGGAGCTCACAGAATTCCCCTGGGGCTATGTACCCACTGTGCTTCTCTTGGTGTGGGGCTCTCTGGTAAGACCATAGCCTCAGCAGCAGAGACCAGGGCCTGAGGATGACCCAAGGAATCACTATGAGCACCATCATTTATTCATTCTTCATGACATTTTCATCCAGTTCTCCCATGGTCGAGAAATTGTGCCAGACACAGAGGATATAAAAAAAAGGAGCTTTCTACTCATGAGGAAGAAAGACAGGACGAGAAAATGAAAGTGATTTTGTGTTCATGCTGCTGTAACAGTGTGGAGAGGGGGAAGGAGGGTAGAGTGGGTGGGTTCCAGGCTTGGGGCTGGGCTCCTGGAAGCGGGGTGGACCTGCCTAACCACCTCCTCAGGGCGGGCTGCTGACTTTGCCTCGTCTCCCCAGAAACCCCACGACCCGGCCACTGTGGATGAAGTCCTGCGCCTGCTGGATGAAGACCACACGGGGACTGTAGAATTCAAGGAATTCTTGGTCTTGGTGTTTAAAGTCGCACAGGCCTGTTTCAAGACATTGAGTGAGAGTCCTGAGGGAGCGTGTGGACTCTCCCCTGGGGCTTCACCAGAGCTGGGAGAAGGAGAAAGAAGTGTCACGGAAGTGGGAAGCATTGGGGAAGGACAGCGTCACGAGGGGAGCAGTGGTGGACAGAGCAGGCAGGCTGCCAGAGGGCAGGGTGGGACTGGGACTCAGGCCCAGGGTCAGGCCATCAGCTCTTCTCAAGTCAGTCACCGTGACAGGCAGGATGAGTCCCAGAGACAGGACAGAGAGAGCCAGCAAACACAAGCGAGGGGGCATGTGGAGTCAACCCAGAGCAAAGGAGAAGACCAGAGCCACCATACCAGAGAGAGGGTGTCAGAGAGGCAGTTACAGACTGGGGAACAGAACAGAGCCCACCAGGCAAGTGAGACTGTTACTAGAACCATAACTCAGACCCAGACAGGTGCTCCTGGGACCATGGAGCAGGACAGGATCCAACCAACAGGAAACACCAGCACTCAGCCTCAGGAGCCCACCCATGGCCGGACCAGAGGGACTGAGACCCATAGTCAAGACAGGAGCCACACAAACCATGCTGTTACAGGAGGACATGTTCAGACACAGGGAGGTGCCACCGAGACCGTGGAGCAGGACAGGAGCCGTCAGACAGACAGCACTAGACCCCAGCCACAGGAGCCCGCCCATGGTCAGACCAGAGGGACTGAGACCCACAGTCAAGACAGGAGCCACACAAGCCATGCTGTTACAGGAGGACATGTTCAGACACAGGGAGGTGCCACCGAGACCGTGGAGCAGGACAGGAGCCGTCAGACAGACAGCACTAGACCCCAGCCACAGGAGCCCGCCCATGGCCAGACCAGAGAGACTGAGACCCACAGTCAAGACAGGAGCCACACAAGCCATGCTGTTACAGGAGGACATGTTCAGACACAGGGAGGTGCCACCGAGACCGTGGAGCAGGACAGGAGCCGTCAGACAGAAAGCACTAGACACCAGCCACAGGAGCCCGCCCATGGTCAGACCAGAGGGACTGAGACCCACAGTCAAGACAGGAGCCACACAAGCCATGCTGTTACAGGAGGACATGTTCAGACACAGGGAGGTGCCACCGAGACTGTGGAGCAGGACAGGAGCCGTCAGACAGAAAGCACTAGACCCCAGCCACAGGAGCCCGCCCATGGCCAGACCAGAGGGACTGAGACCCACAGTCAAGACAGGAGCCACACAAGCCATGCTGTTTCAGGAGGACATGTTCAGACACAGGGAGGGTCACATATCCAGAATCAGGATAGGAGCCAGGCTCCAAGCCACATAGGGGCTAGAGAACAAGGACAGACCCAGAGGCAGCCAAGCAGTGGTCAAAGATGCACACAAGTGGGCAGCTATGAAGCAGAGAAGACAGCATGGGGAGGACAGACCCATACTGGGACAAGCAGTCTGACAGGCAGATGGGACTGCAGCAGCACTCACCCAAGGGGCAGTGCGACAGGAGGGCAGGGAGAGAGAGAGCCCTCAGTGGTGAAGCGGGAGGAGCGGGCTGATGACCACACAAGGGAGACAGTGATCCGAAGGCAGGCCCAAGGCAGCCTGTACACGGGCGAGCCTTCAGTGAAGGGCCCGGAGGCAGCCCAGCTGGAGGGGAAGCGAGGTTTCACAGCCAGGGAGCTGTATTCCTACTTCAAAGACAGCAAGCTATGAGTGCTCCAGCTGTGGACTCCAGCACCAGAAGAAGGCAGCTGGAGAGGTGTTGGCTGGGCCTGCCCTGGTCATTCCAGCTGGCATGTCCCTGGACATCAGAGCTTAATCTTGGTGCTTCGCTCTAACATCTTTCTCAGTGAATTTCTGCAAGGTGCTTTCTATCCTAGACTCTCTCTCTTTCCTTCTTTGCTGTGCAGACCCTCTCAGTAGCAGAAGACACAGAGCAAGTCATCCCTTTTACCAAATGTCCCTCAGCTTGTGGGGTTTTCCAGAGCTACTTTTCTCTCTGTCATTTGTCCACTGCCCCATCTATCCTGGTGCATCAATAAAACCTGTCTAGGCAACTGGGCTCTCATTCAATCACTATTGATGTGATAGACTAAGGGCTACGGGGCTGTGACAATAAACTGGACATGGTCCCCAGCCTTCAAGAGCATCTAGTCGAGAAAATATGGCATAAGATTCCAAGAGTTAGAAAGAGTCAAAGAGAGGAGATACTATATTTGTATACTTGGCAGAGAGGTATCAAGAAAGTTTTCTATCAGAAGAGGTGTTTTTGTAATGTCCTTAAAGGACAAGTAGGATTTAGGTCAGTAAAGCTATTCTCAGTCTTTCACGACCTCTAATTCCAGAGTGTTAAGTCTCTGTTCACCTGTAAAGTCACATAGGAAGGCTGCCTTAAGGTTACCAATAAGTGGAATAAGGCCACAAGGAGTATGTAGAAGACAGGAAAAGTGTATGTTACCAGGAACTGAGCCAGGAGCCAGAGCCCCTGAGCTTCTCTCCCCCACCTCCTCATCCATGTCAGCCCTGACCTTTCATGATGTCTCACCTCTGCATATGAACAAGTTATGAAGTAGGACTTCTCACCTCTGGTTTATTATAAGAATCACCTCAGAAGTAGTTTTTAAAGTAAAGATTTATAAACCTAACCCTACAGATGCTGAGCCCAAAGGTTTGAGTGGAGCCTATGCAAATTGTTAAAGGGACTTCTTCTTCTGACAGTGGATACTATGGAGGGTCTCCGACAACAAAATAACCAGATTCTGCATAACATGTATTTTTCATTGAACTATTGGTTTGCAAGAAGTAAGGAAAATATCCACAGAGAAAACAAAATGTGTTAAGCTGTATAACAACCCCTAAAGATGTCCAAGGAACCTGTGAATAGGTTTCCTTATGCGGCAAAAGGGACTTGGCAAATGTGATTAAGTCAAGGGTCTTAAGAGTGAGATTCTTCTGGATTACTCTGAATCTCTACACAGGCTTATAACTATGGGCCTGATGTAGCCACGAGCGTCCTTGTAAGAAAGGGGGCTGGGTGATGGAACCAAGGGCTGGAACACGGCACAATGAGGCAAGGAACGCAGATGGCCACTATGAAGCTAGAAATGGCAAGAAAACAAATTTTCTCCTAGAACTTCCAGAAGGAACCAGTCCTTCCAACATCTTGACTTTTAGACTCCTGATCTCCAGGGAATCAAGGGAATAAATTTTTGCTGTTTTAAGCCATTAAGTTTATGGTAATTTGTTACAGTAGCAATAGAAAACTAATACACACACACACACACACACACCATAAAAACTCAGAGTTACGGCCAGCATAGTAAGGAGGAAGCATGTGTGAAAGCGAAGGCTGCCCTTCTGAGGACAAAACGATTTCATGCTCATCCAAACTGACCTTTAGGTATAAAAGCCAAAGAGAAACAGTAAAGAACTTGCAAGGACTCAGGGACTATTGTTCCCATAATCCCTTCCTGGGCAATCTAGAAGAATGAGCATCAAAATAAACGAAGAAAAGAAACCAAACCAGAATCATAGGAAAAGCATTTGCCATGCAGTATGATAAGGAGTATTTCAATATATTTAATTGTAGAACTAAGACTAAATAATGGTGATAAAGATGAAAGAATAGCATGTAACATTATATGCTCTGAAAATTCAAATATAATATAGCTGACAAAAAATGGAGGGAAAAGGAGAAAGCATGTGAAAAGTACAGTCAACCCACTGATTGCTTTAAATAAGTACATATTTCTAAGTAAAAACTGGGAATAAAAGTATATCACTTCAAATTAGATATTGAGAAAGGAAGAGGAGAAAGTTAAAAGTTTCTTGAAAATTCAATCATTATTTAGAATAGGGGATGAATAGACAGAATATTTTAGAAGGGAGGGAATGCATAAAGTAGTTACCATAAAAGTAACATTAGAATAAAAATTGAAATATTTCTCAATATCAAAAGATATTCCAGGGAAAAAAGCAAATAAAACAGATAACATAGTTAATGATGTTATTTATGTTGAAGATGTGTATTTGCATAAATGTAACATAGAAGACTGTGGCAGACTGAGGTCAAACATAGTATTTGTAATGTTAATGTAAAAAGTTTAAATCACTATTAAAATAACAAGCTTTTATAGTAGATCATGTAAGTCTATGTTATTCGCAAGAGACATCCAAATCAAAGAGATTAAGAAATTTATTTTGAGGAGAACCAAGATGGCGGAGGAGTGAGTGGAAGTCACACTGACCTCCTCCCAGGAACAACCTGGAATTACAACTAAATTGTGGAGAAATCACACAGAACAAACAACTGAACAATAGTGAAAGAGGAGCCTTATAACCTCGGACAGACAGAAGAATCAGCTTTAGTACAACCTAACTAGTAAGGGGTGTGGTAGAGACTCAAAAAGGCAGGCGGGGCACCCATGGATGGCAGCACCAGACGGATATTGAAACAGCCAGCTGGATCCCCCTGAGAAGAGTGGGGTCTAAACCATAAGCATAGATCTCCATCCCACAGCACCAGAGCCCAAAAAGTACACAGATAACAGCCAGCTGCAAAAAGCGGCAGGGTTGCTCTTTGACAGAGACAGGAGGCTGGAGAAGCAAAGAGCCATTTGAAGGTCCAAAGCATAAATTTTTATTTGCAGCCATTTACTCTGGTCTCCGGCAAAGGCGGGGGCAGAGTGGGCTGGAGACACCTGAGGAGAGAATGGGGAACGAGGCTTTGGGGAGAGAACTGAGAGTGGCCAGTGGGATCCCAGTGCTGATTCATCCCCCATGCAGCAGCAGCCATCTTGCTCAAGCAGACCATGCCCCTGAGCGCCAACAGCATGAGAGGACCCAATAGCCTGGTCCCGAGGAGGCTCTGCCTAGGCCCGGTAGTGCTAAAACCTGATGGCTGAGTACAGAGTGGCAGCCACAGATAGTAGATCCCTGGCTAAAGGGGGTACAGAGTAGTCTAGAGACACTTGAGGAGAGACTGGAGACAGAGGCTTTGGGGAAAGAACAAAGAGAGTAGCTGGTGGGAACCCGGTACTGACTCCTCCCCCATACAGCAGCAATCATCTTGCTCAGGGAAACCAGTCCCCTGAGCAGCAGCAGCGTGAGAGGACCCAATAACCCTGCCACCAGGAGGGACTCTGCCCTGCCCAGTGGTGTCTATAAACCAGCCTGCTGAGTGCAGAGGGACTAGAATAATAGCTGAAGGAGACAGCCACAGGTAGTAGATTCCTGGAAGTCTTGAACAGACTGCCTAAGGTCAGAGAGGTTCAATATCTGACATTATCAGAGGCAGATCTAGAGAGAAAAAACAAAACAAAACAGCAGTCTCCTGCCATAGAAGTTCACACCACAAAGTCAGAAAATCAAGACAGATCAATTTAAGAAGTAGAAGCAAAAAAGAAGAGCCCCACAAATAATGGGGAGACAAAGAAACACCCTCCACTTGAAGAGAAAGAAGGAATCCCCAGAAAGAGAACTAAATGAAATAAAGGCAAGTAAATTATCAGATATTGAATACAAAACAACAGCTCTAAGGAAGTTCAGTGAGCTTAGTGAGCTCAGAGAGAATTACAGAAAAATACAGGGAAACTATGAGAAACTTACTGCAAACTCTAGCAGCATGAAAAAGGACATAGAAACTATCAATAAGATGCAAGAGGCAATGAAGACTACAATTTCTGAATTGAAGAACACAGCAGAAGGAATCAAAAACAGATTAGATGAAGAAGAGGATCAAATCAGCGAACTGGATGACAAGGTAGAAAAAACTCCTGGAAAAAGCAAGAAATTGAAAAAAGACTCAAGAAGAATGAAGAAGCATTGAGGGAAATTCAGGACAACCTGAAATGTAATAATATCCGTATAATAGGGATGCCAGAAGGAGAAGAAGAAGAGCAAGGGATAGAAAACCTGTTTGAAAAAGTAATGATGGAAAACTTCCCTAATTGGAGGAGAGAAAAAGTCACACAAGCCCAGGAAGCACAGAGGGTCCCATTTAAGGGGAACCAAATGAGGCCCACTCCAAGACACATCATCATTAAAATGGCAAATATAAAAGACAAACAGAGAATCCTAAAGCAAGCAAGGGAGAAACAGGTAGTAACATACCAGAGAGCCCTGATACATTTAGCAGCTGACTTCTCAACAGAAAAACTACAAGCCCAAAGGGAAGGGCAAGAAATATTCCAAAGATTGAGAAGCAAAGGCCTGCAACCAAGACTGCTCTACCCAGCAAAGCTCTCAATTAAAATGGACTGTGAAATAAGGAGGTTCCCTGACAAAAGAAGGCTAAAAGAATATACCTCCACCAAATGAACATTGCAAAATATGCTAAAGGGACTGCTTTAAGAAGATAAAGAAAGAGTCTAGGAATACCCAGTTCCTTTCACAGTCACCAGTACTTGATATTACCAATATTTTTAATACATATTAATCTGATTGTGACAGTGGTGTTATTTTAATTTTTACTTTATTATTTGTCAAAACTAAACCTTTTTTGTATATTTCTTGCCAATTTCTATTATTTTTAAAAAGTTTTAAGTGACTTTTTGGTATTCTTTATCCAATTTTTTATTAAAGTTTTGTAGAATTTTTGCCCTAAAAAGAAAAAAAACCCTATCAACCCTGTTTTTGATGTGTTGTAAATACTTTCTTATTCTATTACTTGTCCTTTAACTTTTTTAATAGGTATATTACTATATAGACTTAAA